GCACTCAGTGATGAGTAACTTAGGATTGATAGAACATGGGCTTACATTGTATCTTAAGAAAAGAACAGTAAATTTTTAGAGAAGTAACAATAAAAATGACTGAGTTTCTGGGGTGGCAAATTGTGGTAAAGTAAAATAGATGGGTGGACTAATGGAAGATAAGGGCTAATTAAGATAGTTTGTTATATAGGCTTTTGTGGTGCCATCTCTTAGCTGATAAGGGTTTAGAGTGGTCTCTGGTGATTAACTTTTGTCCTTCCTGGTGGAGAGGGAGGGAGTGAGTACCTTTACAAATTTATGTCTTTTAGGTACTTGGGGGGAGGGGAGAGAGCTTTTCTTTTATCTATTTCTTCTTAATGTCCTTGAGCTCAAAATAATCCTGTACCAAAGCAGCACATTCTATTAGCCTTCAGTACTTAGGTGTATCTGTAGGATAATATCCTGGAAATGGAATTTCTAGGTCCAGAAGGTAAATGCATATGTTTTGTTAGGTATTGCCGCATTCTTCATAAAAGTGGTGCTGTTTTGTACTTATCGATATATGAGAGTGCCTTTTTTCCCCCAACAGACTATTAACAAACTTTAGAATTTTTATGAATAATTATGTGAGTTTTATTATAAGCATTTTTTAAATAAACAAACTTTTAGAGTGGTTTTAGGTTCACAGCAAAATTGAGCAGAAAGTAGAGAGTTGCCAAATAAATACACCATCCCCACACAACCATGGTCTCCTCCCCTATCCACAGCCTTTACCACAGTGTACATTGATCACCATTAATGAACCTACACTGATATCATCCGAAGTCTATGGTTTCATTAGGGTTTACTCTGTGTTGTATAACAGTCTATGGGTTTTGACAGATGCGTAATGACATGTAGTGTTGTATAGAATAGTAATGATACATCATACACGCTACTTCTGTTTACTGACCTAAAAATACTCTATGGTCTGCTTATTTATCTCTCCCTGCCCCCTAACCTCTAGCAACCACTAAACTTTTTACTGTCTTCGAAGTTTTGCCTTTTCTAGAAGGTTATGTATTTGGAATCATACATGTGTTTGGAATGAATTGTAGCCTTTTCAGACTGGTTTCTTTTACTTAGTAATATGCGTTTAAGTTTCCTCCATGTCGTTTTATGACTTGATAGCTTATTTCTTTTTATTGCTGAATAATATTCTATCATCTGGATGTATCACAGTTTATTCACCTATTAAGGACATTTTGGTTGCTTCCAACTTTTGGCAATTATGAATTAAGATGCTGTAAACATCTATGTATAGATTTTTGTGTTAACCTAAGTTTCCAAATCCTTTGGGTTAATATCAAAGAGTTTGATTGCTGGATCATGTAAGAGTATGCTTTTTAGTAAACTGCCAACCTGTCTTCCAAAGTGACTGTCATTTTGCATGCCCACCAGCAATGCACCAGCAATGAATGAGAGGTTGTGTTGCTCTCTATCCTCTCCAGCATTTGATGTTGTCAGTGTTTTGGATTTAGGCCATTTTACTAGATGTATAGTAGTATCTCATTTTAATTTGCAGTTCCCTGATGACAAAATGTAGGAACATCCTTTCATAGGCTTACTTGCCATCTGTAGATCTTCCTTGGTGAGGTATCTGTTCAGTTCTTTTTCCTATTTTTTAAAATGAGTTGTTTTTCTTATTGTTGAGTTTTAAGAGTCTTCTATATATTTTGAATAATAGTCCTTTATTAGATGAATTTTTTGCAAATATTTTCTCCCATTTTGTGGGAGAATATAAACATTTATACTTGAAGGTTAACCCATATGGAAAAATATAAAATTATAAGTCATGAATTATAGTTTTATAAATTTTCTAAGTGGACATATTCCTGGCTTCTCTATGTAGTTTGGATTTGCATTTCTCTCAGCAATGTAGTTGAGCATCTTTTCATCTTTTCAATGATTAAGGGCCATTTTTTTTTTCTGTGAACTATCAGTTGACATCTTTTGTCTATTTTTCACTCTTTTTTCCCCCTCCAACTAGGTTTTTAAAAATTGGGGAGATCAATTCTTTGGAGTATGAATAAGATGTTTCCCTGTTTTTCTTACTAGTCTTTTCACTTTGCTTTTAGTTAGTTTGTTTTGCTATAAGAATTTTCTCAAATGGGGGCGCCTGGGTGTCTCAGTCTGTTGAGTGTCCAACTTATGCTCAGGTCATGATCTTGTGGTTTGTGGGTTTAAGCCCCATGTTGGGCTCTGTGCTGACAGCTCAGAGCCTGGAGCCTGCTTTGGATTGTCTTCTCTCTCTCTGCGCCTCCCATGCTCATGCTCTGTCTCTCAATAATAAATAAACATTAAAAAAAATTTTTTTTTTTAAAAGAATTTTCTCAAATGGCTACATGGAATCTCTTCCTTTTTCTCAGCTCAGGATTCAGTGTTAAGTGTTACTGTTTTCCAGAATTCTTCTTAGTATCTTTTAAGGCTTTAAAAAGTGTCTCATGTTCCCATGGTGCCATTTGTATATCTTTATCTTGGAATTTAATTACAATCCTTATCTGTTTTTCTGTAGACTGTAAACTCTTTGAGGGCTAGAAATCTGTTTTAATCTCCTTGTGTCTCCAGTGTTTGGAGCATAAGAGGTATACAGTAAATACTAGAGTTTTGTATGAATGATTGTTTCTTCTTTGTTTCTTGGGTTTTGATGCCTTTGATTTTACAGCTATTGCTGTCTGTTTAGTACTCTTCATTTGCTATTGAACCAACCGGTCTTATTAATTTGCCTTGTCATATTGTCATTTTCTGCTCTTTACTATATTTCCTTTGAGGATTCTCTTGGAGAGACATTGACTTATTTCTTGGACCTCTGTGAAAGAGAAAAGGTCTTTTGAGTGTTTTACTTCTTTCTTCATAATTAAGATTTATGATAATGGTTTGATGTAAACAAATGATGTCATACCTGTAAGTCCTTTTCTTGATGTTTTTTTTGGGGGGTGTGGTAGACAGTGTGTTATATCTTGTTCTTTTTGATTCTTGTTTTATATTTTCCTACAATATAATTTCATAAAAATGTATATACAAAATATATACAAAAAGGAAAAGGTTAGTATGATGAACTTCTACATACTGTTCACCAGTTTCACGAGTTATTAACTAAGTACTTTAAGGTAAGTACTTTAAATAACATATCATTAGAGTTATAAAGATTCTAGAGGCTATATAGGGCTAACCTCCCATCCCAAAATGGCAGAGTAGTAATCCAGTTAAAATTTGAATTTCTCTAAACATAGGAATTTAAACATTCTTGGTGCAGTTAGTTTCTTTATTGAATAGTTGCATTTGTACACTGAGCTAAAGTGTGCTTCAGAAGAAACCCTGATTGGTTCAGTTAACAACTCTTCAATATGAACGTTAGATTTATTGAAGACAGAAATTACATCTTTCTTATTAAGCTAAAAAAAAAAGTTCATTTTAAATGACATCTTAAAAACACATGTAATAGTACTAGTAAAAAACTGGTAGACATTACACATCCTAAGGAGACTAAGGAAACAATTTCAGTTTCTTTACTTGTTTGTTACTGACAATCTTATGAAGGACCAATATTTTATTTTATTTATTTATTTTTTTACAAATAGTTTATTGTCAAGTTGGTTTCCATATAACACACAGTGCTCATCACAACAAGTGCCCTCCCCCATGCCCATCTGCCCCCTCCCCCCCATACCCATCAGTCCTCAGTTTGTTCTCAGCATTCAAGAGTCTCTCATGGTTTGCCTCTCTCCCTCTCCCCCACCATTTCACCCCTTCTCCCCCATGGTCCTCCGTTAAGTTCCTCCTAATCCTCCTATACGTGCAAACATATGATATTTATCCTTCTCTGCCTGACTTATTTCGCTCAGCATAACACCCTAAAGGTCCATCCATGTTGCTACACATGGCCAGATTTCATTCTTTCTCATTGCCATGTAGTATTCCATCGTATAGGTAAACCACATCTTCTTGATCCATTCGTCTGTTGATGGACACTTAGGCTCTTTCCATGTTTTGGCTATTGTTGAGAGTGCTGCTAGGAACATTGGGGTACATGTGCCCCTGTGCATCAGCATTCCTATATCCCTTGGGTAAATTCCTAGCAGTGCTATTGCTGGGTCGTAGGGGAGTTCTATTGTTAATTTTTTGAGGAACGTCCACACTGTTTTCCAGAGGGGCTGCACCAGTTTACATTCCCACCAGCAGTGTAGGAGGGTGCCCGTTTCTCCACATCCTCGCCAGCATCTAGAGTTCTCTGATTTGCTCATTTTAGCCACTCTGACTGGCATGAGGTGGTATCTCAGTGTGGTTTTGATTTGTATTTCCCTGATGAGGAGGGATGCTGAGCATCATTTCATGTGTCTATTTGCCATCTAGATGTGAAGGACCAATATTTTAAATTAATTTCTGGTTTGAAACTTGAACACATTTTAACCACATATGGATTTTTATATCTTTGATGTTAAAAATGGCAGTCTATAAACTAAAACCTATTTGTTATGGTTACATTGCCTTTCAAGTCCCTCCTCAGCATTTCTAGTAGATGCATTATTTATGAGATCTGTAAAGAATGTGCTTTTCTATCAGAAATTGCCAATTCAGATTATTTTATTAATTTCAGAGTCACTTCATAGTGTATGTCAATTCTGATTTTATTATTAAATAGTCCAGGATATTTAAATGATTCCCTTATCAGCTGTTATTGGCAGTGGCTTTGAATGAAGAGTAACTTTCTGAGAGTAATTTTATAAACCTTAAACTTGTTCCCCAAAATGTTCAAGTCACTTAATATTTTGAATTGCTTATCCTTAAGGATGTTATCTGTATTTACCTCAATGAGAATTTTATGTAGCACATACTTGTTAAATTTTTCAGAATAACTAGTGTTACACTTAGTCTGTATTTTATCATTATCTTAAGCTTTTTTGTACAAGATGAAGTCTGTGTTTTATTCTCATTGGTAGTTCAAAACTAGAATGTAATATTTCTCTTCTTGATTTCTGTAGAGCAGGTTGTTGCCCTGGATGCTCAAAATATCGTAGCTGTTTCATGTGGAGAAGCTCATACATTAGCACTAAATGACAAAGGCCAGGTGTATGCTTGGGGTCTCGATTCTGATGGACAGCTTGGCCTGCTAGGATCAGAGGAATGTATCAGAGTACCCAGGTAACAAAGGTGACCAAAAAGAGGTCTTTAACACTCTTTTATAATACATTTGTTATCTAAATTATTCTGCTTACTGTGGGTATGTAAGAGTTGACACCTAATTATTTCTCCCTTTTGAGTTCTTAAGGAGTTTACCAGGTAGGTTCTTGCCTCTAATTTGGGCTGAGTGCTATTTTTTTTAATATTATTTTCTCCGAAATTATTTATGTTTGTAAAAATAAGAGATGTGGAATATGTACTTTATTATAAACATTTTCTTACTAAAATTTTAGAGTGATTTAGGCTAATTTAAACTATGATTGTACTATCTTAAGTACCCCAAGAAACAATTGCTTGTTTCTTTGTCTTGTTTTTTTTTAAGTCTCTGTTTTTATTGAATATAGAAGTCCCACATGCTTAGTGTAGAAAGAATTCAGTCACTTTCCACTTTTTACAAAACAGTGGCCACAGCTTATGTCAGCCACTAATTCATCATTGAATTATTTCAAAATTAAAAAATAAATGCCTCATTAATGTATTCTTAGAGATTTACATAAGGCACAGCCATTGTTTTAATTTTAAAAATTGTAAGAGTATGAACATATTTAGGTAAAAATACAGAGATTTAAAGAAAGTATCCAATTTGTTTTCAATACATAAGTAATACATTAACTCACGCTTTGTTTTTTATATTATACAAATTCTTGCTTCCTTAAACTCTTGTTCTTTCTTCCTAGTAATAGTTATAGGGACAAAAGAGAATTCTCCAGAGAAACAAGGTATTAAACTAAATTTTAGATTTATTCTAGGTAGCATTATTTTACACACATTTAGATATTTTGTTTATTTATCTATTTAACATTGACAATGTTTGTTTTGGTTTATGAAGTAGGATAGAACTTACTAGGATAAGAAAATGGAACGTGGGAACTAATAATATATTTCAGAATAGAAACTGTTAGAAATGAGGTTGTTTTTTTTTAAGTACGAAAGGTAGCTTGTTCCTTCAGTAAGCTGATAATTCCTCATGTGTATATGTTTATTGAAAAACTTAAAAGTATCTAAAGTGTTTAGTTTGTTTTAATTTATTAAAAGTGGTTTTGTCTTATTTTGATTGTTTTAATTTGTTAAAAGTGGTTTTGTTTTGATCTTTAAATTTTGTAATTGTTCTAGTAGTGAACTGTCCTTTGAGACTTTTGGATACATCATATTCACATATTTTCTTGATTGACTTTGTAACTAAGTTCCACAAAACTCCCCAGATTTCTTCCCCTTTATTATTATTTTTCTCCTCCTCCTCCTTCTCCTCATGACCTGAGCTGAAGTCTGATGCTTAACCCACTAAGCTACCCAGGTGCCCCTCCATTTCTTTCTTCTGTTTTAACAATTAAATAACAAACACAACTGTTATTACGCTTTTAATATCTTTTAATGATAGTCCTCTTCAGAGAAAATTTTTTTCTTAAGCTAAGTAAATTGAATTCTTTTAGTCATTTCAGTTTAGATTTATTTCAGAAATTTGCAACCAAATGGCTATTAGCTATGTAATAATACAAAGCATTCATAGAAACATAGTGACCTCACATTTGTCATATCTTCTATTGCTTTCATTTCCTCCCGTAAATAATTGTTGTAGAATGGGATTTTTAATTTAAGATTTTAAGTTGTGTGTATTTAGGATTGAAAAGGTTCTTACGTTTGATTTTCTAAGTCAGCATTCTCAAAACCAAGGTTTTTATCCAAGCTTTCTAATATCTTATACTTATTGGTTTCTTAAAACCATCTTTAAATTTTTGTTGCTGTTCACTTCTAGTAGAGGGGATTTCAGGCAGTAATCCATGATTCTTACTAAATGGAAAGAAAGGTAATTAAGTAGAGAATGTTATTGTATGAGTTTATTTGAACAATGCCCTATAATAAATTCTGTATTTGTGACTTTATTATTTTATGAACATGGATAGGGACCTGAAAGAGATCTTTTGTGAGTTTTTTGGTTTAAACTTGTATGTTTTTATATTTGCTAAACATGTATATTAACTTTAAGCTCTTTGTTAAGTCATTTTTCCTGTTGAGCCTACTCAGTTTTCAGTGGACTGATCTGATTTGTTATGATATATACATAGTTTTTACTGATATTCTCCTGTGTTAATGGCCAGTTTAGTATTTAATTGTGCTTTGTTTTCAGGCAAATCATGCTCAGAGGCTGAGTTTGTCTTTGCCAGCAGTTTATTATTTAACTATGTAACACCAGTTTATTGCAGGGATTACACAAGCCAGTAGCATATGAGATAATGTCTCTTATTAAGCCAGTAAATAAATTAACATACTCCAACCAATGATAGGTAAATCACACTATTGTTTCAAGCAAGAGGAGATGATAGTAATAAAGATCAAATTTAGCTGAGATATACTTTCATATGACTTGGTACTAGGGAGAGATGGTTTAGCCAACTGAGACCTGATGTCCTCCTGCCAGCACAAATATAAAAGTCCTCTGTTTTATTAGAGCATGTTGCTAGGGAAGGATGCACCTAGCAAGTATTGACCGGTGAGGGCATCCTTTTCTCAAGGCTGCTGCTTGGTTTTTACCACTGAGGGTTAAAAAGTCTCCTTTACTATGGGGGTACCTGAGTGGCTCAGTCAGTTAAGCATCTGTCTCCTGGTTTCAGCTCAGGTCATGATCTCTCAGTTCATGGGTCCAAGCCCTGCATTGGGCTCTCCACTGACAGTGTAGAACTTAATTGGGGTTCTCTCTCTCTCTCTCCCTCCCTCTCCCTCCCTCTCCCTCTCTCTCCCTGTCTCTCTCCCTCTGTCAGTGCCCCTCCCCTGCTCATATTCTTTCTATCTCAAAATAAATAAAGAAACTAAAAAAAAGTTTAATTTACTATGGCTGGAGCTAATTGACCTCAGGTCCTTGGAGAACTGCTTAGATCAGCAAAGAGTAGACTTGCCAAGACCTAAGACTCTGCAGTAATCCTCACAAACTCTCAGTATTTATAGTCTAAATGTTATATTGCTATAGTTTTTCTTGATGTGTTTTTATTGTTCAGCCCCCAGTGGGGATCCCCCCTCAGCAGCTAAGTCACTGAGTTCATCCAGAGCAGATGAGATGATGACATCCTGACAACTTACTTCATCTTTATATCACATCTTTACTTTTAATAATAGTTTCATTTTTGTCATAAATAGGTTTGAAATCAAATCAGTATACGACATAGTAGAAATACATTTTTGTGAAAGACTGCCAGTGATTTTTTTTTTTTAATTTTGGTACCAAATTTTTATTTTATTTTTTCTGGGAGCCAAATCATTTTTAGATGCAAGTCCTTGTCTGTATGCTTAGAGATATCAGCCAGCTTCATAAATTTCTCATTCATTTTGAATAAAACATATAGAAGATCAGAGAAAACTCAACTGTATGTAAATAGATTTTTAAAATTAGTGTTTAATTTTTATAAGAATGATCAGAAAAGCCTATTCACATTAGGCTGTACTTCCTTGAGAACAAAATCAATTTTAATGCAAAATTGATAATAATATTTAAAGCAACACTTTAAAATGAAAGAAGAGTATAAAATTAATAATAGATTACATTTGAAATTTTTACTACTTTAATGATCTTTTCCTGCTTCTAATTTTATTTTATTTTGAAATCACTACTTCTTGGGGAAGGACTGAAATTATTCAGTACCGATGCTGGTCTCTGCTTTCTGCCTAGTTTTTTTTTTTAATGTAGGATATATGTTATACCCTTATTAAAAAATTAAGCCTAATTTTACTGTCTGTTAATTTGGTATGAATGGAAATATATATTTTTCCACACAGCATTTAGAAACATTATTATTGGCCATTAAGTTGTAGTTTAATTTTAAAAGTTCTGTTTCTTGGACATATGCAATAAAAAGAATAACAGTGGTGTAATATGATCCTTGTGAAAATAGTGATTTCTTTATAAGAACTAATTAAAAATGTTTGACTTATTAGCTTGGTCAAAAGTAAAATTTATTTTCTAGATTTCACTCAGTTTTAAACATATATTGCAATTTTAGATTAAAAAGAAAAAATATTTTTTTAATGGTGGAGATTAGATTGGTTGTTAGTGTAAATTTTTCTTTTTTTTTTTTTCTTTAATGTTTGTTTTTGAGAGAGAGGGAGAATGAGTGCACGAGAGCAGGGGAGGGATAGAGAGAGGGGGAGACAGAAGATCCAAATTGGGCTCCCACACTGAAAGTAGAGAGCCCCATGTGGGGCTCAAACTCACGAACCTTGAGATCATGACCTGAGCTGAAGTCAGACACTTAACTGAGTCACACAGGCGCCCATACACAATAATGCCACAGTAGATTATCTTTCCTTGTCACCGTTGCAGACATGGCTAATGAAATTAACATTTATGTTGTATTCCAAACCTTACAATAATTTTGGAAATGTGGAAGTCACCAAGTGTAAATTGCTATTCAAATTTAGAAGTTTTGGGGCAGACTTTATGAATGGTTTAATACTACAGTCTTAAAGACTTTGCAAACTCACTTATCCTTTAACAGTGTATTCAATACATGCTTCTTGCCAGGCACTGTGGTGAGTGCTGGAATTCTATGGATATAAGACATATAATCTGCCTTTCCAGAGCTTATTGTTGAGCAGAGTACACTAGTAATAATTAAATGAATAAGTACACTAGTAATTAACAGTGATAAATGCTGTGAAGGAAAAAAAACATTAAGATGCTATGAGAGTGTAATATTTGAAGTGTTTTATTTGGACTTGATACCTGGAACAGATTTTTATAAACAATATAATTTTAAAAATACCTAATATAGTTTACTGGTCAGTGTATCATGTGCCTGATATACATAAACAGTAAAAGTAAATGTTCAATAACTTCACAATTGAACAAATCCATTTATTTTTTTATTCCTGTTTTTGCGTTGCTAGTGTTTGATTTTGCTAATTGCAGAAAAATGCCATTTTGCTGCATTTGAAAATCTGAAGGTGCATTGGATCCTGCTAACTTACTGGATTATGCTAACTTATAGCAGTGCAACCCTCAGGTTTTGTAATTAAGAACATAAATCCACTAAATAAAAATATTTTTAGTACAACAGTATGGAATTAGAGTAACTCTCCTTTCTCCTGCTCAAAATTTGATTTGCTGAAGCTGCCTCCCGAAAATCATGGGTATCGACACTCTGGTCAGAACTTGCTCCGGACTCTCATATGGCAGAATCAGGTCAGGTGGCAGTATCAGGTAAAGGGAAATAAGAAACATATTATTGTTTCCTCCCCCCTTTTTATCTTGAAAACATTCATTCAGGAAAACAGAATGACCAGGAGAAGGGGAAATGCAAAAGAAACACCTGGGGTGATTGGTGTAAAAAGTTACTTTATTTTTGTAAGGCTTTAAAAATTAGCCTTTAGAATTATGTTACAGTTAAGGAAAATTTAGAAATTGGGATGGGGTGGTAGAAACTGTAAAAATATAAGGAAAAAATGCAAGATGGTAGAAATATAACTGACCATCAGTGATCACAATAAACATGACTTGAGTAAATTTCTCTCGTAAAGAATTGTTTAATATCACTGATTTAGATGCAGAGGTAAAGGATAGTTCAAAAGGAATAGGTTTCATAATTTGTGATTTGGTAGCACCACATGATAGGAATCTGTTGATTCTTTTTTTTTTTTTTTTAATTTTTTTTTTAATGTTTTATTTATTTCTGAGAGAGAGAGACAGCGTGAGCAGGGGAGGGTCAGAGAGAGAGGGAATCACAGACTGAAACAGGCTCCAGGCTCCGAGCTGGCAGTCAGCACAGAGCCCGATGCGGGGCTCGAACCCACGAACCGCGAGATCATGACCCAAGCGAAAGTCGGACGCTTAACCGACTAAGCCACCCAGGCGCCCCAGGAATCTGTTGATTCTTAAGGAGCTTTATAGAGAACATGTATTAAATGAAGCCAGACACCAATTTTAGACAAATTAGTTCATGTAAATTTGTTTTACAAATAAATTGCCAGGTTTCACACTTTAAGCTAAAGATTTTTTTTTTTATTTTGGTAGAACATCTGAATTAGAAAAACACTTGAGGAATCCTTGAGGTGTGAGCTTAGTACGTTGCTTAATACTTTTTCAAAGTGTTTTCTTATTACACCTCTTAATTTTTTCACATTAGATTTTGTTTACTGATGTTAGCATAAATAGTTGGGTAAGTTGAATTTGTATAAAAAAATAGCATGAAATACTAGGTCAGTAGGAAACTACTTGCACATAGTAGGTGGTCAATAAAGGGCATTAATAAATAGTATTCATGATCCATTTATTAAATGGAATTAACTGATTTTGCTCTTTTTTTATTTTCTAGAAATATTAAAAGTTTGTCAGATATCCAGATAGTACAGGTTGCTTGTGGTTACTATCATTCACTTGCACTTTCTAAAGGTAAGTATTGTTTTTATTTTCTTGGCCTTTTACAGTTTTATTACTTGGTACTTGAATTGAGTAGAAAGTCCTCCAACATTGTTCTTATTCAAGATTGTCCTGGTCCTCTTTGATCTTTTTCATATCCATATACGTTTTAGAATTAGCTTGCCAGTATTCGCAGACACACAAATTCTGGGATTTTGATTGAGATTAAATTGTTTCTGTAAATCAGTTTTAGGGAAATCTTTATAATATTGATTCTTCTAATTCTTGGACATGTTATATCCCTCATTTCAATTTCCTTTTAATTTTTCTCAGTAGTATTTTGTTGTTTCTTGTGGAGAGGTCTTACACATCTTTTATTAGATTTTTCCATAGATAATTTGATATTTTTTATTGTGAACAGTATTATTTCCACATTGTTATTGCTTGTATATAGACATGAAATTGATTTTTGTGTCTGATTGTTCTCTAGTTTGCTAAGTGCTAAGCCTTCATAGATAAGGAAGGTTATAACTTGCTCAGTCTCATTCAGGATCTCAGACTTTTTATGAATAAAAACAAAGAAAGCTAAGCATCCTCTTAGCTCTGTTTGCATTTGTTTCTTATACATTTAACTTCTTCATATGCCAGCTAAGGATTGTTGCATAGGTTATTACTATGTTGGTCATTACCATTTAAAGCAGAAGTTCCAGTGGCTTCATTATTAATTATTATTTAATTCATTAAATGTCTAGTGGGGTCTACTGTGAATGCAGTACTAGGCTAGAGCTGTGGGGAAATACAGGTAAGATAATACAGTTAATGACAGGGTAGGGTGGCAAAGACAGGAGCCAAAGTGACAAGCAGAGAGAATTATTTTAAGGACCATAGTATGTAGTGAAGAGGGCAGGTATACAAATAAATAACTAGTTTGAGGCAGAAAAGAAACCGTATTGTTTTGGTTAAGGCCGAAGTAAAATGCTATGTGGGAATGAAGAAAAAAGTGTAATTTGTTCAAACCAATAAAATTGTTAACAATAAGAGGGACTTGGTATTTGATACAGGTCTTAAAAGATGAATAAAATTTTCTCAGAATTAGAGAAATGTTGAGAAGTGCTAGTGGAAGGGTTGAGGATTGGTTAAAGTGGTAGTATCGGTAAAGGCTAAAATCAGGAAAAGTATCTTGTGTAATTGAATATCAGCATATAGTTTTATGTGGGTATTGTGAGAACATAGGAGACATACTGATACTTCATTTGAGGCAATGTGTTACAAAGGCCTTAAATGCCAATATTAAGGCATATGCATTTCTGTAGGCAGAGGAGAAGCTGGCATCTCTGTATTCTTTGTTGTTACTTTGTCAGCCCTCTTTTGATATTTTGGTATGTAGATCCAAAATAAATTTAACCCCAAAGGTTTTACTGATGAGAGACCGTTTTCTGCCTTAACTTACAGGGATTCTTTTGCCTTGTTCAGCTTCATGCTTTAGCAGTATTTTATTCATTTAATGATTTTTTTTTTTGACATCTCAGTATGAGCTAGGCGCTTTAGAGTGTATAGTATTTAGCGGTAAACAGTACACTACTAGCTGCTACTTAATGGTACAGTCATATTCATATAAATAATATAATTTTATACAATGAAAAAGGACTGTAAAGAAAAAAGTATAGGATATTTAAAACATATAGCAGGGGACTAAACTTAATCTGGCCACCAGGGAAACCTCCTTCCTTCTAGGATAGAGTAGAAGTGAACTAGACAAAGATGAAGGGAAGGTCTACACAGAGGGAACTGCAAGTGGTGAGAAGTGAGCATTGGAGAATGTCAAGGAAGGCAAGTGTCACTAGAGTAGAGTGAGTGAGGGAAGAGACTGGTATGAAATGAGCTTGGAAACAGGTAGGTTATGCAGAACATTAACTTTTAACATTGTTAAAAGTGCTTATCCCAGTACCAGTAGGAAGGCTGTGCTATATATTTTTTTCAGGTGAGCAACATTATCAAATCTACATTTTAATAATACCTCTGTGTATTGTTACACTGTGTCTGCTAGAATGTGTATAGAATATTTCTGGAAGTACATACCAGTAAGAGTGGTTGTCTTTTGGGAGAGGACGCAGGGTCTAATTTTAGAGGAAAACTTACTATTAAGTGTGTACTAATTTATAGTATGAATTTTAAAAACAATTATTAGTGCCACTTAGTTAATAAGAATAAATAAAAAGATGTCTGAAGTTGCAAAACAGGGTGCAGCTGGGGGAGCAGAAGTGACAAGTAGAGAGAATCAGGTGAGATGGTGAGGGATGGATCTATGTGCCATATTTTTCTTTAGCAGGAAAACTATATGTTATATGGTGATATATGATAGATTGATAACCAATTTGTGTATCAGGTAAGAGGAGAGAAGAGTTAAGGATGACTCCCTATGTTTATGGGTTGTGCTACTGAGGCGGTTATAATATTTATTGAGATGGAGAACACTGAGAATAGTTCCAGATATGGGAGGTAGGGTGGGGTCATAAATTGTTTGGAACATGCTGAGCTGGAAGTGTGTTTGTAATATCCAAGTGTAGATAATCATATAAGCAATTGGATACATGGATATGTTGCTCATAAGAAAGGTCTGGTCTAGTGATAAAATTTTGAATGTGATCAGCATATAATAACTGAAGGCTTGAGCTGGTTGTGTGCCTCTTGGATAAACCAAAGAATAAAAGTGAGACTTGAGGAATATTAAAAAAGAGATGGGTTCTATCCTAAGGAACGTAAGGAAATGAGACTACACTCAGTTATGTGACTTACCCATTCATTAGTAGAGTTGGTCAAACTTAAAGTGTACCAATACAGAATGTTCTTATATGTTTCCATATAAGAAATAACTTAATAAAGAAGAATATATATTTCCATTTGATGAGAGAGAGAATGTCTCAAAATAACTGATAATCTTCAAATGAAATTTTTTTGTGTGTGAGAAAAATGGTTAATTTTATAATTTCTGTTTTACAGCAAGTGAAGTCTTCTGTTGGGGACAAAATAAATATGGCCAGTTGGGTTTAGGCATTGACTGTAAAAAGCAAGCTTCACCACAGCTGATTAAATCTTTGCTTGGAATTCCTTTCATGCAAGTTGCAGCAGGAGGAGCTCATAGTTTTGTACTCACCCTTTCTGGAGCTATTTTTGGATGGGGTCGCAACAAATTTGGTCAACTAGGTCTTAATGATGAAAATGGTAGGTTCTCATTATTTATAAATAAATGTACTTTAATAAAGAGATGATCTTTTGAGATGGATTCTTATGTCAGGAAGAAATGTACCCAAATCTTCCTGATATGGAGAAGGGGATGGAAGGTTTATTTAAAAATTTCACTTGATAATATTTTTAAGGGATTGTGGGAAGGCCAGAAAATACCATTTTATCGCAAAATAAACTCTAGAAAGTATATCTGGATAAAAATCTTTGTTTTTAGATGTTCATTAAAAGAAAGTTGTGAAAAACAATACTTCAAATTGGAAATCGATTATTGGCCATCATTGGTGGAAAGAAGTTGTAAAGTTATTCTGAAAAGCAACATGGAATGTTAATCTGTTTGAGTTTTTCAAGGAAATATTTAAATAATCTGAGTCATTAAGTCTATCTTGGGCTTCACTTTTAACATGGATTCTAGAGTCTTGAAAATAAACAATTTGAATTTAAAAAATTATAATTACTTGAAACAAGTCAGGATCTTGGAACTGATTTTTCATAACTGCATTAGTTCAAATGCCAGTATTTGAAATACAAAACCTAATTTCACCAAGCTCAACATAATTGTCATGATTTAAGTGGACAAAAGTGAGTTGTTGGTCTAGTAACAACTGGTAATGATAAGCAAATAATACTCAGAATTTTAAAATATTTTATTCTGCATAAGAAAAGTATGTCAGATTAGGACATATTTCCTTTCTGGTACCAAGTAGCAGGAAGCATAATTTTCATGCATTTAAATAGAATCCTGTGAGCTTAATTATCATGAGGTAAATATAAAGAATGATGTATGTATATTAGAAACAGATAGCTTTGAAATGCCTTGATTTCTAGTCCTGTGTAGATTGATGTTAGGGAAGTTTAACACTTAAATTACCCTTTAAAACCCTCCTTTATCATAGCGCCATGAATAGAAAGATCTGAGAACCCAGTTAATTTGGCTTGTACTACAAAATCATTGACTTACAGTTAAAATTATTTGTCACTGTCTACTGAGCTTGGGAATCTGTAAAGGAAACACATTGTGGAAGAGTTTTAATTTAAAAATACCGTTAATGTCTCTTGTTGGAATTTTCAGATAGGTATGTTCCTAATTTACTAAAGTCACTAAGAACTCAGAAAATAGTTTATATTTGTTGTGGAGAAGATCATACTGCTGCACTAACCAAGGTATTGTATTCCCATAAAATTTCTTTATGATTATTCATGGTAGTTACTTTATAATAAGTGAGTCTTTTCATGATACTTACTCTAAAACATGACTAAAAAATAATTTATCTTGAAACAAAGCATTAAATTATTACTGGTTATAAACAACTTACCTTAATTTTCAGCTTTGTTTTAGGTTATGAAATGTGAATTATGATCTATTAAATGCAGTGATAATACATTTTGTTGAATTTCTCAAGCTTCATGTGAAATACTGCTTTAGGAATATTTTGAAAGAAAAAAAGTGCCCTTTTAGTTTGTCATACTTGCCATTTTATGTGTATCAAACCTATTTATATTGTGTAACTGCCTCATTTTAATTTAACTCCCATTGGGCTTATAAATATCATGTAACAGGTAATAGAGGAGAATGAATGTATTATTCACAGGCCAAGAATTATGCAGTTATAATAAGCCTTCAGTACAGTCTCATTAATGGTTTTAACTCTGTCCTTTCTTAGGTATGTGCCATTTCATTATCATTACTGTGTAGTTCTCCAGTGATTAGAAGAAAAATGAAAATAAAAACATTAAATTAACCTTTACCAGGAATATTATTGGCATGGTTTTTATTGCCTGAATTGGAAATTGATGTGTTTGCTTTATCTTCATTTTGAAGAGTAGATAAAGTTGCAAGAAAAAATTAACTTCTAATCAGACTTCTACACACACAAATTTCTACACACCCACATTGGGAATTTTTATTTTTGATAAGAATTTTCCTTATCATTATAGTATATTCAGTACTTTTAAAAATATGATGACTAATTATAAAAGTTGATTTTTAAATTTTTTATATTACTGTAATTGCCTGTTAGTAAGGAAATTTTACTTATCTGCCAATCTTACTATTTTATTGATTTTTATCAAGTTACAAATATAATCACTAAAGCCTTATTGAATCATGTTGGCAAGTTCTAAATTCTAGTCGTTATCTTCTGTCATGGGTATTTAGAAGAACTAAGGCTGTGTTTTTTTTTTCATTTGTTTGTTTTTAAATAAGGCTATGTTGAAATAATAATGTAAAAAATATTTTGTGTGTTATTCCTTAGTACTAACTTTGTTGTGGGAAGACTCAAAATGTTGATGCTTTATCAAATTCAGCTCTTCAAATAATCACTTATCTTATTTTCTTAGGATATGTAACTGTTTCTATCTGTTGAGTTTTTTAAAATCCCAGTCTTCTGTGTTCCTCTCAAGACAGTAGCTGGTGATACTTGTTCACTGGAATTTTTGGGGTATATTATTTTTAACAAAATCAGATAGTTTTAAAAATCCAAATGGAAAATAATTTTCCCTTGATTTAAGTTAGAATATAGCTCCATATCCATATATCTTTTGTTTTCCTGGAAGAATTTCTTGCAAATAAATTAGGATTGCTTTACAAAACAGTTTCCTTGTATAAAACCTGTATTAGGAAGACAACATCAGGAAAAATTTCAAAAGATACTTACGAACAGAATAAATGTAAAGATAATGTATGTTAATGGGTATGAACACACTATCATAAAGATGTCAAATTTTTTTAGCTTTATTTACAAAGTCATCATGCAAATCAGGGGTGCCTGGGTGTTTCAGCTGGTTAAACATTTGATTTTGGCTCAGGTCATGATCTCATTGTTCATGAGTTCGAACTCCTTGCACTGACAGTGCAGAGCCTGCTTGGGATTCTCACTGTACCCCTCTCCTTGCCCCTCTCCCATTCGCACTTTCTCTCTCAGAATAAGCTAAAATAAATAAGCTTAAAAAACAAATTCGTTATGCAAATCATATATACAGACATCTTTTGACTTAGCAATCCTACTTTTAAGAGTCTGTCCTAAAGATAGGACATTATATATGCACAGGGCCATTAATTGAATGAAAGAATGCAGATGTCCATCAGCGGCCTAATTAAATAAACTTTGGTAACCACGCAAGACTTGTAAAACAGGTGTTTTACATGTAAACATGACTTGTGAAATAGAATGAAGAAGATCTCTGTATTATACTGTGGAATATTTTCAGCATATATTGTTAAGTAAAAAGAGGAAGGTAAAGAATAGTTGCCATTGTATAAGCAGGGATAAAAGATGAACATGTTTCATGTTATTTATATTTTTAAAAATTAAATACCTAGATCAAAATTTGCCTTACAGTTTTGACTTTACAACCTAGAAACTGTTACATATAATTAAAAAGGAAGCATATGTTTTTAAGCAATTACTAAGAATTGAAAATAATAAAGCACTAGTGGCACACTACAAAAGGAGAATTCTTTCTTTTTTTTAATGTTTGTTTATTTTTGAGACAGAGACAGAGCATGAGTTGGGGAGGGGCAGAGAGAGAGGGAGACACAGAATCTGAAACAGGCTCTGAGCTGTCAGCACAGAGCCCGATGCAGGGCTCGAACCAACGAGCCGTGAGATCATGACCTAAGCTGAAGTCGGACACGTAACCAACTGAGCCACTCAGGCGCCCCAGGAGAATTCTCTTAAGTCCTTTTACGATACATTATTTTGTTGTAGATCTCTAGTGGGAAATAGCCTGAAGATAAACGGAATTCACACAAAATTTTAAACTGCATTCTGTAATCTTACTATTAGTAGTAAAATTGATAGTATTATTTTCAATATATTACATACAGGATAGGAAAAAGCAAATAGTACTTTTCTGTTACTAGAAACTATGGTCTTCCGCTTAAGACAGAACTGTAGAGCAATAAGAATTAAAATCTCAGGATCTTTACTTTTATTTATTTTTAATAACTTTTTTAATAGCTTGTTTATTTTGAAAGAGACAGAGCATGAGCTGGGGAGGGGCAGAGAGAGAGAGAGAGAATCTTAAGCAGACTCTTAAGGGTCAGTGCAGAGCCTGATGTGGGGCTCAAACTCAACGAAACCTTGAGATCAAGACCAGAGCCGAAATCAAGAGTTGGACACTTAACTAACTGAGCCACCCAGGCACCTTTGTGATCTTTACCTTTAATCAGAAGTGCTGGTATGAAGTCTTATTCTTTTTCTTGTAAAAAAAAAATTTTTTTTTCAATGACCACTGAATGATCCTTGAAGTAATTAGCCATGTACGGTCTGGAAGCAGTGAGCATCACTTGATTTAGTAGATTCAATATGAAAAATAACCAGAGCTGCTTAGAGAAGAGTCTGAATTCATATCTGGGGCAAGGAAAAAAATAAGTCTGAGAATAGCTTTGGGTGTTATGTGTTTAAAAAAAAAAAAAGGAGACTACTAAGGTCATATCAGTGGGACAACATCAAGGAATTTTCACAAAAAGAAATTACGATGGCAATACATGGAAATATACCAAGTATATAAAAATCCATGACTGCATTATAATACTCTCTTCTTCAAATCAATATAAAGCAAACTTCATTGCTTATCTTTGAAAGTTGCTAGGACAATAACTCATTTTTCTAAAAATTTGTAAATAACAAAGAAGCATTTTTCTTGCCTCCTATTTGCAGATTGGAATATAGAGTAATTTAATAGTTGATGATTTTAAGTTCTGTATAAAATAATTCCAACTAATCTAAGAGAAATAATAAGATTAGAAAATTTCTATTTTATACTCCCTAATAGTGGATCGAGGCAAAGATCAAAACATTAAACTTAATGTGGATAGATTAGGCTTTGAGACTTCTTAACTTGCTTATTTTTAACATTATCAACCAGACATGTGCTTTGGTGTGATGATTTAAATAAAATAATCAGGAAAATTTAAGCATGGCATCAGTATCAGATAATTAAAATTAAAGAGGCCAGTTCATGAAGAGGATATAACAACTATACCTATCTACGCCCCCAATGTAAGAGTACCTAAATAATATTAAGCAATTATTAACAGAGCTGGAGGCAGAAATAGACAGCAGTAATGGCAGGGGAGTCCAATACCCCACTTTCAACAATAGGTAGGTCATCCATACAGAAAACCAGTAAGGAAATATTGGACTTGAATTATACTTTATACCAAATATAATAACAGAACTCCATCCAATAGCCGCAGAATGCACATATTCTTCTCAAGCAAATAATGGAATATTCTTCCGGAGAGATCATATGTTAGGTCACAAGACAAGTCTTTAACAAGTTTAAAAAGAACTGAAATCCTATCAAGTATCTTTTCCAGCTGAAATGGTATGAATCAATAATGAGAGGAGAGCCAGAACACTTGCACATATGTGGAGATTAGAAAACACACTCCTAAACAATTACAAGGTCAAAAAATAAAGTGAAGTAAAAAAATATCTTGAGACAAGTGAAAATGGAAACAACATACTGAAACTTAAGGGATGCAGCAAAATCAGCTTTGAGGGGGATAGATAAAAATAGGCTTTGTCACTATAAATCCAATAAAGTGTTTATAACATACAAGTACATTAAGAAAAAGTCTCAAAGAAGTAGCCTTTATACTTCAGGGGACTGATAGGGGGCAGCAGGGAAACCAAAGTTAGCAGAAGGAAGAAAATAATAGGTCAAAGGAGAAATAAAGGCTAAAACCAGCAAAGATCAACAAAACTAAGAACTGTTTTCCTGAAAAGCTAAAATAATCAACATGTTTAGGTAGATTAAAGACTCAGTATCAGAAATGAAGAGACATTACAACTGATACAACACAAATCAAAGGATTGTAAGAAACTATGAACATAGTTCATAGTTCCTTTGTGTTAAACTGGATAACATAAATGAAATGGATAAATTCCTAGAAACATCCAAAGCTACCAAGACTGAATCATTAAAAAGTAGAAAATCTAAACAGACTTTTAACAGGGAAGGAGAATGAATCACTCATCACAAATCTCCCAACAAAGAAAACCCAGGACTTGGGGCCCCTGAGTGGCTAAGTTGGTTAAGCATCTGTCTTCAGCTCAGGTCATGATCTCACGGTTTGTGGGTTCGAGCCCCGCGTCAGGCTCTGTGCTGACAGCTGGCTCAGAGCCTGGAGCCTGCTTTGGATTCTGTGTCTCCCTCTCTCTCTCTCTGACCCTCCTCTGCTCATGCTGTCTCTCTCTCTCTCAGAAATAAATAAAACATTAAAAAAAAAAAACAGCTTAGGACTAGATGGCTTCACTGGTGAATTTTACCATTTAATTATTGCCAGTCCATCACAAACTCTTAAAAAAAATAGACATTTTTAAATGCATTTTATGAGGCCACCATTATGTTAATACCAAAGCCACACAAACACGCTGTAAGAGAATAAAATCAAGGGCTATTTATCCCTAATGGACATAGATATAAAACACAACAAAATATGAGCAAACCAAATTTATAAATTTTTTTAATGTTTTATTTTTTTATGTTTTATTTCTTTTTGAGAGAGAGAGAGACAGAGTGAGCAGGGGAGGGCCAGAGAGAGAGGGAGACACAGGATCTGAAGACAGGCTCCAGGTTCTGAGCTAGCTGTCAGCACAGAGCCTGATATGGGTCTCGAACCCACGAACCGTGAGATCATGACCTGAGCCAAAGTCGGATGGAGTCACTCAGGTGCCCCGAGCAAACAAAATTTAACAGCACATGAAAATAATCACATACCATAATCAATTGGGATTTATCCCTGGGATGCAGAAATCTTTCAACATCTGCAAATCAATCAACATGACATTAATGGAATGAATGTTAAAAGTCATTTGATCTTCCTAATGTAGGAAAAGCATTTGCAAAATTTGACATCCTTTCATAAAAATTCTCAATAAAGTATAGGAAGAATATGCTTCAACATAATAAAGGTCATAACATAATAAGCATATAGCTTAACATATTTAGTGGTGAAAAGGTGAAAATTTTTCCTGTAAGATCAAGAATAAGATGAGGATGCCTACCTTTATCACCTATACTCTAGTACTGAAAGTCCTAACCAAAGCAATTTTAGTAAAGAAAGAAAGGCATTCAAGCCAGAAAGGAAAAAGTAAAATTGTCTCTGTTTGCACATGACATGCTGTTACATATAGAAAACCCTAAAGACTATCAAAAGTCTGAACTCATAAATGAATTCAGTAAAGTTGCAGGATACAAAGTCCACGTACAAAAATCAGTTGCATGTCTATACACTAAGAACAGACTCTGAAAGAGAAATTAAGAAAGTCCTGTGTACAAGATCATTAAAAAGAAAAAGATATTTTGGAATATGGGACCCCTGGGTGGCTCAGTTGGTTAAACATCCAACTTTACCTCAGGTCATGGTCTCTCGATTTGTGAGTTCAAGCCCCGTGTTGGGTTCCATGCCGACAGCTCAGAGCCTGGAGCCTGCTTCAGATTGTGTGTCTCCCTCTGCCCCTCCCCACTTGTGCTCTCTCTGTCTCTCTCAAAAATAAACAGTAAAACAAAACAAATTTAACAAAGGAGTGAGAGGCCTGTACACGGAAAACTATATGACATCATTGAAAGAAATTGAAGAAGACACAGATAAACGGAAAGATACTAGATGTTCTTAGATTGAAAGAATATTAAAATGTCCAAACTACTGAAAGTGACCTACAGATTCATTGTAACCCCTATCAAAATTCCAGTGGCATTTTTCACAGAAATAGAGCAGACAATCCTGAAATTGACCAGGAATAGCCAGAAAGACCAGGAATAGCCAAAGCAATCTGGAGAAGGAACAGCAAAGCTCGAGCATCATGCTTTCTGATTTCAACTGTAGTAATCGAAACAGTATACTACTTTATAAAAACAGACACATAGACCATTCAAACAGGATAGACCAGAAATAAAGCCACACGTATATAGTTAATTATTGACAAGGCACCAACAACACACAGTGGAACAGGTTGGTCTTTTTAATAAATAGTGCTAGAAAAACTAGTTATCTATATGCAAAAGAATGAAATTGGACCTCTATTTTTACCACTAATAAAACAACTCAAAGTGGATTAAAGACTTAAGTCTAAGATTGGAAACAAACTTGTAGAAGGAAATATGGGATGAAAAACCCTTTGACATTGGTTAAAGCACAAGTAACAATAGCAAAAATAAATAGGTGAGACTACACACTAAAAACGTTCTGTGCCACAGAGGACACCAATGAAATGAAAAGACAGCTTATGAAAATATTAGCAGACCATTTATCTGACAAGGAGGTAATATTCAAAATATAAAAGGAACTCCTATAACTCAATAGCTAAAAAGTAAATAATCTATTTTTAAAATAGACAAGCTGAATAGATACTTTTCCAAAGAATATATATAAGGGGTGCCTGGGTGACTTGACTGAGCGGCCGGCTCTGATTTTAACATTGGCTCAGGTTAAAATCTCATGGTTTGTGGGATGGGGCCCTTTGTCCGCCTCTGTGCTGACAGTGCAGAGCCTGCTTGGGATTCCATCTCTGTCTGCCCCTCCCCTGTGCTTTACCCTTTGTATGTCTCAAAATAAACAAACTTATAAAAGTACGCACACACACAAATGGCTGAATGTGTACAAGAAAAGGAGCTTAATGTTAACATCACAATCATTAGGGAAATGCAAATCAAAACCACAGTGAGGTAACACCTCACACTTATTAGGCTGACTATTATCAGAAAAACAAAGGACAAAGTATTGGTGAGGATGTTAAGAAAGGGGAACCCTTGTTTCCACTGCTGGTGCAATGTAAACTGGTGCAAATGGAAAACAGTATGGAGTTTCCTCAAAAGATTACAAAGTGTGGCACCTGGATGGCTCCGTTGGGTGTCTCCGCTTGGGTGTTGATCTCAGGGTCAGGAGTTCAACCCCTAATTGGACTCTGCTGGGCATGATGCCTACTTTATTTTTTATTTATTTATTTTTTTAATGTTTTATTTATTTCTAGGAGAGAGAGAGAGAGAAAGAGACAGCGTGAGCAGGGGAGGGTCAGAGAGAGAGGGAGTCACAGACTGAAACAGGCTCCAGGCTCTGAGCTGGCAGTCAGCACAGAGCCCGACGCGGGGCTCGAACCCACGAACCGCGAGATCATGACCTAAGCGAAAGTCGGACGCTTAACCGACTAAGCCACCCAGGCGCCCTTTTTTTTTTTTTTTAAATGTTTTATTTATTTCTAGGAGAGAGAGAGATGTGCCTACTTTAAAAAAAAAAAAATAGGAAAGAAAAAGAATTACAAATAGGACTATATGACCCAGCAGATTCCACTTCTGGGTTTATATCTGAAGGAAATAAAAACAGGTTTTTGAAGAGGTAACTGCACACCCATGTTTATTGTAGCATTTTTCACAATAGCCAAGAAACAACCTAAGTGTCCATTACCAGGTGGATGGATAAAGAAAACGTGATTTATACATACATATGTATATACATATACCTACACACACATTGGAATAATCTGTTTCTTTACATAGCAGATATATGCTTACGCTATTAAATGTTGAAAGCAGGATGTAAAATTGTATATGTAGCTAAAACTGAAGAAAAGCAGTTAATTGAAAACACTAATTGTGCTGATGTTAAGCTGTCATCACAATTTACTTTTTTTTTTTACATGTTTATTTTTGAGAGAGTGAGAGCTGTAGTTGAGGAGGGGTGGGGTGGGGCATGCACAGGCTCCAAAGTGGGTTCTGTGCTGACAGCAGACAGCTCAATGCGAGGCTCGAAATCAAGAACCATGATATCATGCCCTGAGCCAAAGATGGACACTTAACTGACTGAGCCACCCAGGCAACCCACAAATTACTTTTATATATATAACCTAATCCAGTTGTATATTCTTATCATAATTTTTTTACAGATCCTGTATAATTGGTCCTTAAACATAATAGGGTTGAACTGCATGGGTCCCCTTACATACTTTTTTTTTCAACAAATACTTTGGCAAGGTTTTTGGAGATTTGTGACATTTTGAAAAAAACTCACAGTAAATTGTGTAGCCTAGAAATACCAAAAGGAAAAAAAATTAAGTTAGATATTGCTCATATTATCCATGAGGCTTTCAGTCAGAAGTAGGCTATTAGTTTTTAGGGAATCAAAAGTTGTATATGGATTTTTGAGTGCACACAAGATGTTGACATCCCTAACCCCTGTACTGTTTAGGGCTCAACTGTATATTGTAGCAACTGTGTGTTAAGAATAGCTATATTTGTTCATTCTGGTTTACTTAAACTTTCAGCAGAGCTTTTATGTTAAAAGTATAACCAGTTTGAAAACTGAAGATACCATTTTTTGGTTTTGTGATATTTTATAGGTATGTACTTGGGATTCAGTAAGAATATAATGGTAGTGAAAGGCAATGCAAAAAATTATTAGTATCTTTTAATGATAGCTTCAACTAAGTATAATGACAAGAACATAATTTCTTCTTAAATATGTGAAAATAGCCTCAACCTGGAATTTAGTTTTAAGACATTTAACCTTGAAAATTCAGCTATAATCTGTTAAATTATGAAGACAACAGAAAAATTGACTCCATATATTAAAGATTAACTTATTTTCTTAAATTATTTTCTTTCATCAGGTCTTCTAATGATAAAGTGTTGTGGGTTTTTTTGTTTTTTGTTTTTTTAAGGAAGGTGGAGTGTTTACTTTTGGAGCTGGAGGGTATGGTCAGTTGGGTCATAACTCGACCAGTCATGAAATAAATCCAAGGAAAGTTTTTGAACTTATGGGAAGCATTGTCACTCAAATTGCTTGTGGAAGGTAAGCTATCATATAAGATATTTTAGTCTCTATAATATTCTGTTACTTAGAATTTTTTTAACAGCCCAGAGGTCTTTTACTTATTTACTTATTTATTTAAATGTTTGTTTGCTTATTTAGAGAGAGAGAGAGGCAGAGGGAACAAGAGCGTGGGGGTGGGTGGGAGGGGGAGGATTTTATAATGATCATATCCCTTCACATGTTTCAGGAAGCTCTGTCTTGGCTCTGAGTACTTAATGTTTTCAGTATGCACAGTAATTTTCTAGGCAAGAGGAACTTGTCTTTGTTTATTTACAACAATGCCTTCAGCATGCTGGGCATCAAAATAGACTTACAGTTTTGCCATGGTAACATTTGTTGGGTAACATTTGTCCTTTTTGAGTAGTGCCCATCCGCTCAATGTCTATTATATAACCTTTCTTGTGGATTTGCATGTATGTGGCCAAAGGACCAATTCCATATTTGCTAAAAGGTCTAGAGAACATATAGGGGTGTCTCTCCTCTTTCCCTTTGTGTTGGTCATTTTGCAAATTACTGGAAGATCGTAGCTCCTAGCTGAAAGTAGATACATATATATTTTTAATGAATTGTTTAGCATTCTAGGAATCCAAGAAAAAAACATTATTCCTTAAATGCCTAATTTGCTGCTGAGGAGTAACAGTAACAGGAGAAACATCTTTTATACTGATTATTTTACCTTTCTCTATTCAAAACATTTATTTGGACAAGATATTAATAATATATGTGTAATATTGTATTTATTGTATATAACATCCCTCTTGAAGGTGAAGTATAGGTTATCTTTTTTCCCCACCTTTTTAAATTTAAACAATGAGGAAATTGAGCAGTTAATTAACACATGAGAATAGTTATTTTTTTTATTGCTGAAAGTTGAATTGGAATGCTGATCTACTGATTACCAGTTCTTGGGAGTAAATAGAAGTTGAGCTTCACCTTTGAAATTGAGCTTCACCTTTGGTGGATTAAACTAGGTAGACTCCCAAAAAGCAAAATGTACTTTGTTTAACTAAGTTTTGACCACTTAGCTTGATTTTTGCCACATAGTATATATCCTAAAATATAGTTTCGGTTTTGCTAAGGGTTAACTTCAAATACATGAACTCACACTGTAGGTAGTCTTTGGTGACTTTTTTTTTTTTTTTAACAGGCATTTGTGTGGTTCTGGTTTTTTGGCAGTTAGAAATAATGTTGCTTTGAACATTAAATGATATACATAAATCTTCATATTTCTAAGTATATACCTAAAATGGGATTTCTGGGTCATAGAAGATACTTAAGTTTAATTTTGCAAGTTAATGTCACTCTGTTTATCAGAATTTATATTCCATATTTACAGTGTGTCCTTGTCTGTCCCCATTTGACACTATCAGACTTTGAAATTTTGGTAATCTCTTGGATATATAGTGTTAGTTTAATCATGATTTTAGGAGCACTTGGGTGCCCAGTCGATCAAGCATCTGACTCTTGATTTTGGCTCAGGTCATGATCCCATGGTTCATGGGTCCGTGTTGGGCTCTGTGCTGACAGTGCTTGAGTCTGCTTGGGATTCTCTTTTTCTCTTCCTCTCTCTGCCCCTGCTTGCACACTTTCTCTTTCTCTCAAAATAAATAAATAAAACTTAAAAAAAAATCATTATTTTAATTTGCATTTCCATGATTTGATATGAATTGGATTGAATCTGTAGATCACTTTGGGAAGTATTGAAATCTTAACAGTATTAAGTCTTCCAGTCCATGAACATCAAATGTCTTTCCATTTATGTCTGTAATTTCTGGGGCACCTGGGTGGCTTAGTCGGTTAAGCGTCCGACTTTCGCTTAGGTCATGATCTCACGGTTCGTGGGTTCGAGCCCCGCGTCGGGCTCTGTGCTGACTGCCAGCTCAGAGCCTGGAGCCTGTTTCAGTCTGTGATTCCCTCTCTCTCTGACCTTCCCCTGCTCACGCTGTCTCTCTCTCTCTCTCTCTCCTAGAAATAAATAAAACATTAAAAAAAAATTTTTTTTATGTCTGTAATTTCTTTCAGTAATTTTTGTAGTTTTGTAGTTTTCATTTCATTTTGTAGTTTCATTCATTAAATTTTGTAGTTTTTCTATGTCTTTTATCTTTTTGTTTAATTTCTAAGTATCTTCTTATTTTTGATACTATTGTAGACGGCATTGTTTTTTTAATTTCTTTTTCAGCTGTTTATCAATGTATAGAAATGTAACTGATTTTTGCATGTGTTGGTTTTTATCCTGCTGCTTTGGTGATTTTTTTTTTTTTTTTTTA